AGACGTGGAGTGGGGACCAATCTCCCAGATTCTTTCTACTATACCAGCAAGGACTTTTTGCTTCAACTCTCCTAAAATATAGAGCTGTGTAGTACATAGCTGAATTCAGAGTGCATTATGATTAAAGTGTCTTTGATGTCATGCTGTATAATTACATACTCTAATGGTAGTTTTACTTGAAAAGAGTGAACTCCTGTCCCTTACATCTTATTAATTGTTTTGTAATATTGTGCATTGAAAACCTGTTTCTCTTGCCCTTCCAGGATATAGAAAATCAACTTGCAATTAAATCCAAAGCACTGGATGAGCTGAGACAAAGTTACCTGACTTTAGAAAGTGGGGCAATGCCGTTGTCAGAAGATACAACATCTGGAATTGACAGGTTATTTGAAAAGAGGAACAGTGTTATCAATCAGGTACTATAATTCATTTGATGTATGCAGTTTCTCTTCCCATATTCTTCTTTTATCTTATTTGTTGTTATTGTTGTTCTTTCATCACGGAGACTTACTGTATACTAAAAACTTAAAGGCGAGAAAAATATTGAAATGAAGCAGGGGAAAGCATTTCAAATCCCACGTGATGTGCTGAATAATTAGAGGCAAAGCTACCAATTCCAACATCACTGACAGACTGGAAATCTACTTGGTTGTCTTTGTTTTGTCTAATGCACTCACCCAGATATAAATGTCTCCATCCCCAAATCCAACAGCATCTGGCATTGTTTCCTGGCTAGAACCACAGGAGCAGCTGTGAGGAAGCAGCTCTGACTCCCCACATACAGGGAGGTGCCTCAGGGAGGGAGGGAGGGAGGGGGCCGCTGCCAGCTGGGAGCATGGTCAGCTTCCCACTGCAGAGGTGGGAAGGAACACAGCATGGTGGTGAAGAGAAAGTAGAAAGGAAGAGAGTGTGCAGGATGTCTGGTAATGTACGAAAGGCATGTCAAAGTCTCTTTACTCCTTCCAGGAGCAGGGCACCAAAAGAGAGAGAGAGAACAGGCATCTCTAGACATTACAACCATGACATTTTACACTGGAGGGAGAAAACTCTAAATACTAACCAAGTATAGGTGTATCCACATTTCCTAGAGAATCCCCATTGTGGGCTATTTGTCATCTACTAAGATCTACTTTCACCCATTTGTTCCAAGAGGGAATTGGGAATAACCTGTATGAATAAAACACATAGGCAGTGCTCAGCCTCATCCCTCCCCCAGGACTCAGGCAGGAAAAGGGGGATGATCTTATTGTCTTTGCGTGTGTGTGTGATTGACCCATAATAAATGTACGTTTATGGAGTATAATGTGTTTGGACAACGTGTAAATTGTGTAATGCTCAAAGCAGGGTAATTAGCATATCCATCATCTTAAACATTTATCATTTCTTTGTGATGAGAACATTCAACACTTCTAGCTATTTCGAAGTGTACGATGTTAACTCTAAGCCGTCCTACTATGCGGTTTTACACTAGGACTCATCTGTCTATCCATGGTTTGGTGCCCTTTGACCAGTCTCTCACCATCACCCCACTCCTGCTGCCCCCCTCATCTTCTGGTAACCACTATTCTACTCTCTACTTCTATGAGAACAATTCTTTATTTATTTGTTTGTTTATTTTGTTGAAACACAATTGATTGTACATATCTGTGTAGTACAGCGTTGAATATCCATACCTGTGTGCAATAGGTGATGCTCAAATCAGGATAACTAGTATATTCACCATGACACAATGTAATCATTGTTTGTAGCCCTTTACCAATTTCCCACTAACCTCCCCTCCCCCTCCCCCTTTCCCACCTTTGTTGGGCTCAGTTCAGTTCTCCCCCTTTGAAAGTTCAACAAATTACTGTGATTGTG